AAAGGTTCAGAGTTCATTTCAAGTGTGCTATTTGCATTTGGAATCTGTTGCTGTCAACTCTCAAGATGAGATCCAAAGAGCTGTCACTATCAGTGAAGCAAGCCATCATTAGGCTGAAAAAACAAAACAAACCCATCAGAGAGATAGCAAAAACATTAGGCATGGCCAAAACAACTGTTTGGAACATTCTTAAAAAGAAGGAACGCACGGTGAGCTCAAGCAACACAAAAGACCCAGAAGACCACAGAAAACAACTGTGGTGGATGACCAAAGAATTCTTTCCCTGGTGAAGAAAACACCCTTCACAACAGATGGCCAGATCAAGAACACTCTCCAGGAGGTAGGTGTATGTGTGTCAAAGTCAACAATCAAGAGAAGACTTCACCAGAGTGAATACAGAGGGTTCACCACAAGATGTAAACCATTGGTGAGCCTCAAAAACAGGAAGGCCAGACGAGAGTTTGCCAAACGACATCTAAAAAAGCCTTCACAGTTCTGGAACAACATCCTATGGACAGATGAGACCAAGATCAACTTGTACCAGAGTGATGGGAAGAGAAGAGTATGGAAAAGGAAAGGAACTGCTCATGATCCTAAGCATACCACCTCATCAGTGAAGCATGGCGGTGGTATTGTCATGGCTGCCAATGGAACTGGTTCTCTTGTATTTATTGATGATGTGACTGCTGACAAAAGCAGCAGGATGAATTCTGAAGTGTTTCGGGCAATATTATCTGCTCATATTCAGCCAAATGCTTCAGAACTCATTGGACACCGCTTCACAGTGCAGATGGACAATGACCCAAAGCATACTGCAAAAGCAACCAAAGAGTTTTTTAAGGTAAAGAAGTGGAATGTTATGCAATGGCCAAGTCAATCACCTGACCTGAATCCGATTGAGCATGCATTTCACTTGCTGAAGACAAAACTGAAGGGAAAATGCCCCAAGAACAAGCAGGAACTGAAGACAGTTGCAGTAGAGGCCTGGCAGAGCATCACCAGGGATGAAGCCCAGCGTCTGGTGATGTTTATGCGTTCCAGACTTCAGGCTGTAATTGACTGCAAAGGATTTGCAACCAAGTATTAAAAAGTGAAAGTTTGATTTATGATTATTATTCTGTCCTATTACTTTTGGTCCCTTAACAAGTGGGAGGCACACATGCAAACTGTTGTAATTCCTACACCGTTCACCTGATTTGGATGTAAATACCCTCAAATTAAAGCTGAGTCTGCAGTTAAAGCACATCTTGTTCGTTTCATTTCAAATCCATTGTGGTGGTGTATAGAGCCAAAAATGTTAGAATTGTGTCGATGTCCCAATATTTATGGACCTGACTGTAATTAACGCCATTTGTAGACGCTAGAACATTTACATAAACCAATTAATATACACTTAATGGGATTTTTTTTTTTTTTTTTGCAAAGACATGTAGCAGACTACATTTTGGCCTAAACTTATGAAGAAATTTAATTTTAAAATTTTTTTTTATTGGATATGTTTTTTATAACAAAAATATTGTTGTTTTTTTTTCAAAATTTGCGTTCTTTTTTTGTTTATATCGTTAAAAATAAAAAAAGTAGAGGTCAGCAAATACCACCGAAAGAAAGCTGCATAAGGACATAAATTTAATTTATGCACAGTGTTGCATGACCACGCAATTGTCAGTTAAAGTTATGAAGCACCATATAGCAAAAATGGCCTGGTCAGGAAGGGGAATAAATCCTCTGGAGAGCAAGTGGTTAATAAGTACTTTCTTTTTAGATCTTGATTTATCTCATCCTGGGTTACCTAAAGTAAACCTCCAGCTAAGAATATAAAAGCATGGTTGAAATGCATGTGATTTTTTTTCTTTACCTGATAAACTATTTTTAGTTCTGTTCAACCATTAATGCACTGACCACTGCCACACTGCAAAGTCATCAAGGTACATTCATTATTTCTTCATACAGGTTTACAGGAAGCTGCAAAGCAGACCTAGTAAATAGACCTATCATCTCTCGTGCTGTAAAAATATTTTTTTTTACCTTCACAGCACTTCCCCACTTTACTAGTATGTACAGGTGAAACTCGAAAAATTAGAATATCGTGCAAAAGTTCATTTATTTCAATAATGCAACTTAAGAGGTGAAACTAATATATGAGATAGACTCAATTACATGCAAAGCAAGATAGTTCAAGCTGTGATGTCATAATTGTGATGATTATGGCTTACAGCTCATGAAAACCCCAAATCCACAAACTCAGAAAATTAGATTATTGTGAAAAGGTGCAATATTCTCAGCTCAAAGTGTCCCACTATAATCAACTAATTAAGCCATAACACCTGCAAAGGGTTCCTGAGCCTTTAAATGGTCTCTCAGTCTGGTTCAGTAGGAATCACAATCATGGGGAAAGACTGCTGACCTGACAGTTATGCAGAAAATCATCATTGACACCCTCCATAAGGAGGGAAAGCCTCAAAAGGTAATTGCAAAAGAAGTTGGATGTTCCCAAAGTGCTGTATCAAAGCACATTAATAGAAAGTTATGTGGAAGGGAAAAGTGTGGAAGAAAAAGGTGCACAAGCAGAAGGGATGACCGCAGCCTGGAGAGGATGGTCAGGAAAAGGCCATTCAAAAGTGTTGGGGACTTTCATAAGCAGTGGACTGAGGCTGGAGTCAGTGCATCAAAAGCCACCACACACAGACGGATCCTGGACATGGGCTTCAAATGTCGTATTCCTCTTGTCAAGCCGCTCCTGAACAACAAACAATGTCAGAAGTGTCTTACCTGGGCTAAAGAAAAACAGACCTGGCCTGTTGCTCAGTGGTCCAAAGTCCTCTTTTCTGATGAGAGCAACTTTTGCATCTCATTTGGAAACCAAGGACCCAGAGTATGGAGGAAGAATGGAGAGGCACACACTGCAAGATGCTTGAAGTCCAGTGTGAAGTTTCCACAGTCTGTGTTGATTTGGGGAGCAATGTCATCTGCTGGTGTTGGTCCACTGTGCTTCATTAAGTCCAGTGTCAATGCAGTCATCTACCAGATTTTGGAGCACTTCATGATTCCTTCCGCAGACGAGCTTTATGGGGATGCTGACTTCATTTTCCAGAAGGACTTGGTACTTGCCCACACTGCCAAAAGCACCAAAACCTGGTTCAACGACCATGGGATTACTGTGCTTGATTGGCCAGCAAACTCGCCGGACCTGAACCCCATAGAGAATCTATGGCACATTGCCAAGAGAAAGATAAGAGACATGAGACCGAACAATGCAGAAGAGCTGAAGGCCGCTATTGAAGCATCCTGGTCTTCCATAACACCTCAGCAGTGCCACAGGCTGATAGCTTCCATGCCACGCCGCATTGAGGCAATAACTGCTGCAAAAGGGGCCCAAACCAAGTACTGAGTACATATGCATGCTTATACTTTTCAGAGGTCCGATATTGTTCAATCCTTGTTTTATTGATTGCATGTAATATTCTAATTTTCTGAGATTGTGGATTTGGGGTTTTCATGAGCTGTAAGCCATAATCATCACAATTATGACAAATCACGGATTGAACTATCTTGCTTTGCATGTAATGAGTCTATCTCATATTAATTTCACCTTTTAAGTTGCATTACTGAAATAAATTAACTTTTGCACGATATTCTAATTTTTCGAGTTTCACCTGTACCTCGACCTTTTGGGTATGGGCAAAGTGGTAAAGGTCTCATTAAGTCGCTGGATATTTCTCATTTTTGGTTACACAAGTTTATGTCCATGTGTGTATGTTACACTATTTTAAAGTGTACATAAACCCAAAAGCAAAAATATAACATATTGCAGAAGAAGAGTTTGTTTTATTTTATCAGGACATTTTTCTTTCACTTTAACTCCATAATCCTGTGACTAACACACCTCCAGCCCCTGTGTAGATTGGCACACTCCTCCATCTATAGAGGGAACTATGTTTATCACTCGGGCTGGACTACAAACATGTCTGCCTTGATTTATCTCTATTACATGGGGGTTTGGGAGATGAGTAATTTACAGAAGAAAGTTATTGTTTCTATCAGTTCAGGTCACCGGAAGTGAAAGGAACACAGCATTTCTGGCAAGATTAACAGGTATTTTCTATACTTGCTATATATGTTCTAAGCCTAACAAATTCAAACTAGTGCAGCCACCACATCTAAGAACTGGCAAGCTGCAATATATTGCATATTTGTTCTTTGTCACACAGGAGGCAATGTAAATAGATATGTGATGACTACTGTGACTTACAGATGTGAAGAATGACCAAGTTCTTCAAGGCCATTTAACTCCACAGAAGCAGATCTGACCTTATACAAAGCACTATTACAAATATACTGTATTTTGTCTATATTATCCTAATGGGCTCGGATAGCTGGCTTGGTTATAGTCATTTTGAAACCCTAAAGAATATGTAAACCCAGCATTTCATATTCCTGATATGTGTCTGCTGTATCATGCACTTGTATGAAAAAGTATCCTGTTCTCTTTGTATTGCTTCCTCTGTGTGAATTCCCTGCTGTTCTTGTCAGTCCCTCTGCTTCCCTATTGAAAACTGGCCACACTAGGCAGGATAGCACAGCATGGTCAACTTTCTAGCTGTGCTGGAAACTCAGTGTGCTCTCCTCCAAATGATCAGAATTCTGCTGACACACACGCGTACTGCACAGCCATTCACTAGGAAGACCAGTGTACTACTGTTTCTCCTTCCCCAGCTGTTATGCAGCTGATGACAGAGGGTATGGGAAAAAAAAGGGGGGACGGTGTATATAATGGGGTTTTTTAGATTTATACACAAATGTTTTGTCTTTAATTTCTATTTTAAACTGAATTGGTTGTTTTTTTCAAGGTGGGGGTTTACAATCATTTTAAGAACTGGGCTATTTTAGATAAACCAGCAAGCTATACTTGGAAAAAGTTAAAAGAATATTGATAAAAAATGAAATACAGAGGAAAGACATTTCATATTTCAGACTAGATCATCATAGCTAGACATCATTACCTGGCTAATGTGACAAGTGTAGGTTTTGGCAAGTGTTTCAGTAAATGTTTCATGGACTGCATGAGGCCCTCAATCTCCATTTCTGAACTGACATGGTGTGGAAGCTCAGCATAATCACACGTAAGACCAGCTTGATGGATCTGAAAAACAGAAGGGTGTAAGCAAAACAATGTAACTTTCTTAAAGTGCATGTTAGGGCTACAAAACATTTTCATTACATCTGTGCAATACATGTACTGTTCCCCATGTTTTGTTTCTTTAAAAATGCTGCAAGTACAGAAAAACATCTGTTGATGAGCCAGAAATCCAATGTTGTTGTGCTCCTGTCTTGACCTGACAACACAGTGTGTTATTCTGCACTGAAATCACAAACAGCATTGTCAGGCCTGCCAACTCTGCCTATCCCTCTCCCACATTTGTCCCACTCTGCATTCATACATTGATTTATTTCCCAGGAAAACATACCGCTGCCTTGATACTGTGCATAGGGAGGGATAGGGCTCTTGGAAGATGTGCTGTTACACTTATTGTGTAAAAATATAATGCAATGCACAGTTATGGTTAATGTTCATATTACTGTGAATTGAGAATTTATGTTTAAGCCATTGTTTATTATCTCCAGTATAATTAGTTAATATACTGCCATCTTGTGGATATTTTGGTTATGGCACCTTCCTTTTCTGTCTTCCTGTTTCCCCTCTCACTAGCTAGTGATGCATTTCCTCTTCCTTCTTCACTGTCTTCTTGGGATGAATATGGCCACTTGTCTCTAGGCCACATGTAATCTGTTCGCATCTGGGGACACATTATCATGTTCTGATCTGCAAATACTGTTCTTCCATTCATCTGCTACATCTTTTCATCTGAGGTACCTTCTGCACTACAATAAAGATCCGTGGATGAGAAAAACAGGTGTTTAGTGAGTTCAGCTATCTAATAAAGACTGTCTGCAGTGATTGTATCTGCTTATACAGGCCAGGCATAGAGGTCTCAGCAAGAGATAAGTCACTAATACAACAGTTGGAGTCAGAATAGTCAAAACATGGTAAAATTCCCAAAGCCTGCTGTGTATATGTGTGTGTCTAATCTGCAATCAAGGTCAGCGCCATCCTCCAGCTTGTGAAAGCACATGGTCACACAAACATACTTTGAAAACTCTCTCTGCATTGGACTGCGTTATCCCACCTGTCTAAGCTGCTCTTTTTCTTCTTGAAGAGACAGTAACCATTTTTTTTTAAAACTTGAAAAATGTCTAGACAAGGTTCTGAGCATTCATTTAACGCTGAATCAATGCAGTCACGTTTCTGACCACACAGATTTACAGGGAGCAGATTCTGCAGATATCGCATAGCAAAGTGTAAGACCCAAACGCACAATAATATCAACACAGAAACTTAGAAAAGACTATGAAACCACTAGAGATGAATTCACCAGCAATCTGTAAGATATATGGTACAGAACTATGTACTGAATATCAGTTTTTTCTACGCTTTAATTATCAACCCGCTGAATTAAGAGACTCTATAGATTGCCTACCTGCAGATTATGAACGCTATCAGTGCCTGTCTGTAAAATACACAACTTTCTTAAAGGACTCTAATACAGAGAGCTCTTTAGCAGCAGAACTAACTGAGATAGAAGCACTAAACCAACAAATAGATCTCTTAGTGAAAGATGCTAATGATAAAGCAGAACTCCACATAACTCAAGTGCAGAGGACCAGATCTTCTACATCCAGACTTACTATGCTCACTGCACGTTCTTCTAGATCCTCGAACTCCAGAAGCTGCACATTAAGCGACAAGCTAATAGAGGCCCACGCAAGTCTGGAAGCAAATAAAGTGCGAAGCTCCTTTGTCAGAAAGGAAGCTGAATTAGAAGCTCAAAAAAAAACTCTTCAAGCAGAAATGGCAGCTCGCCAATCAAAGGCAGAATTCCAAATAAAGATTCTGCAAATGTAAAGGGAAGAAGCAGCTGCCTTAGCAAGGCTGAAGGTCTCTGAGCAAGCAATGGGAGTAGGTACTAGTTCAGACTGTTCTATTCCAGCACAACTGGAACATCCAATTATTATTATTATTATTATACAGGACTTATATAGCGCCGACAGTTTGCTCAGCGCTTTACATTTTGAACGCACAAGTAAATATGTGCTAAGGCACAATGTTTGCAACAATACAAAATTGTCTGCTGTACCTCTTGTGAACAATAGTGTTCGGACTCTCAATGCACAGACCTCCAAGCTGCAAAAGCCTAAGCCTAAGTACACAACGCAAGTGTATCTACACAACAAAAAACATCAAAACAGTGTGAATAAATACTCAAGAATAAATGATAAATAATACACACAAAAAAACTTGAAATATATATATAATATTAATTGGATAGTCCTACTCCAAAAAAATTATTTTTGAGATGAATATGGCAAGTAGAGTGAAATTGAAAGTCCTTATTCCAAGACCCTTGATGCGCGTTCACACCCGTTTGTGCTAAGATCACATACCGCATTCACCAGATAATGGTGAAAGAAAACGCCTTAATTATGGGTTCTGGAATCCTCGACCCATTCAACTCAGCCTCCAATCACCAGGTTTAGGTGGAAATCCCCCAATGCAGGAATAGATATATGCCTCAGAACTCCAAACCGTAGTTAAAATCAGCCTCCAACCTCCAGGACCACCAGAGATCCTGTTTGAGTCTTGCAGTATTACACTATATACATTTTTTTCTCTGCACCAATCATCTTTCTATGGCGAGTGATCTCTGGTGGTCCTGGAGGTTGGAGGCTGATTTTAACTATGGTTTGGAGTTCTGAGGCATATATCTATACCTGCATGGGGGATTTCCACCTAAACCTGGTGATTGGAGGCTGAGTTGAATGGGTCTAGGCGTTTTTTTTTTTTCACCATTATCTGGTGAGTGCGGTGTGTGTTCTTAGCACAAACAGGTGTGAACACAGGTCAAGAGTCTTGGAATAAGGACTTTCAATTTCACTCTACTCACCATATTCATCTCAAAAATACTATTTTTGGAGTGGGACTATACAATTAATATTATATATTTCAAGTTTTTTTGTATTATTTATCATTTATGCTTTTGAGTATTTATTTGCGCTGTTTTTTGATGTTTTTTATTATTTTATTAGTGTTTACACTAAGGAGCAACAGCATTTATTTGGGAATTATTTCACAATTTTTGGCGCTGGTGATTTTTTTGTATATAGTATCTACACAACAAACCATATCACCTCTTGCCAACAATAAGGTGACTCCCAGCAACAAGCCACATTTAAAGTAGCAGCCAGCAGAAGCCTTAGAGACTAAACCACAGCAAAATGCTCTTGCAAAAATCATTTTATCCTGGTAAACCTCACCCTTACTCACCAGACAACTTTTGTGCCCAAGGGGTCCAACAAGCTACTTTGGAACCAAAGGGTGAGAGATCAGATCTGTCTGACCTCACCAGATCTATATGATTTGCCACAAGCTCATTAACATTAGCCTTTCAAGGTTCGACAACTGTCCAGAGGACTATAGGGCTTGGAGATCAACCTTCACAGCTGCTATTGTTGATCTCAACCTTACTGCCAAGGAGGATCCTAATTTGCTCATGAAGTGCCTGGGGCCAGAACCTGCAGATTGTGTTAAAAGACTGAGAGCAATACATGTTGGCCACCCACATGCAGGTTTTGCCGCTGCATGGGCAAGACTTGAGCAAACCCTATGGTAGCTCTGAAGCCATAGAAAGCAGTGTCCTATTCACAAAAAACCTCACCCACTTAAGAAATGTTGTGGGCTTAGGGCACAAACTGTACAAGAATGCAGGGAGATTCTCCAGAAGCTTGGATTATGCTATAGGCGCTGTGCTTCCTATGACCATTTTGCTAAAAATTGTAAAGTTGTCATCGAGTGCACAGAATGCAGTAGTGACAAACACAACTATGCAATCTGCTCCACTTCCAGACAATCCACAGCAGCCATCTACATCTAAGCCCTTCTTCAAATCATGATAGAGAGCAACAAAGCCATGATCCAGCCACAACAAATGTATCTTCTTCATGTACTGAAGTCTGTGTTGAAGGATTAAGCCACAAATGCTGTGCCAAGGTATGTCCTGTCAAAATATATCTGAAGGATCAACCTGAGTAAGCTACCAGGATGTATGCCATAGTAGATGAGCAGAGCAACTGATCCCTGGTTAGACGTAAATTCTTTGCAATCTTTGACATAAAGGGACATGCAGCACCATATACTCTCAACACCTGTTCTAGTTATGTAAAAACCTCTGGCAGAAGGACCTATGGGTTCATGGTCTCCCATATCAAGGCAAAGGCTAAAAAGGGCACTCCCTTGCCAACATTAGTTGAGTGCGACCAAATACCAGACAAGAGGGAACAAATTCCTACTCCAGAAGCTGTGTATCAATATGTCCACTTAAAAGAGAAGTATGGGTTACATTTTTTTTGCATTGTGTGAATTCTGGTGAGCTGCTAGTTGGAATGCGATGTGCACTGCATTACATTTAGGGGAGCAGAGGGGAGACATCCAGGGTCTTTTAGACCTTGGATGTCTCAATAAAGGGAACCTGTTACCAAAAATCATCACATAGTGGGCATGGTCCCGGAGAGGCCCTGCAGGTCCAGCGAGTGAGGAGCGGAGAGAGGAGGTGGGGACATCTGAGAGACATAAGGGCGCCGGTGGTGCCCGTGAAAGTGCCTGTGTGGTGGAGGCCATAGAGCCTGGAATAAGTGGGGGAGCGACTGGAGAAGGAGCTGGTGGGTTATACAGAGAGAGCCCCCCCCGCATTACATCTTACCTTGGAAGTTACCCCAAGATCCCTGACACAGAGGGGACCCTCCACAGCATATATCGTAACCTAGGAACCATGGCTGGGAAAGTGGGCCAAAACAAGGAGTGAACACGCACGGAGAAGCACAGCATACACGGCATGAAAGATGATGGTGAGTTGCTGCATGTTGAGGTTTAAAACTCTCTAAAGAACTGTTGTTTTTTACAGTAAATAATCGCATACTGTGATCATTGTGTAGAAAGAGAAGAACATGTTTGGAGGGTCCCGGTGGTCTTGGGGGTCGATCTCTTTGCATAACACAAAGGGACTTTTTGGGACTATTAGTAGAAGGAAA